AATGGAAGACAAGAGTCAGTTGGAACTGGTGTACCAGATCTTGATTTTGTGCTTTTATATTTATGTAATCTTGACCATCATAGTTTGAGTGGCTATAAAAACTACTACAGGCTGGGTGACTTAAACCACAGAAATTTATTTCTCAGATTGGAAGTCCAAGATCAAGGCTTTGGTAGATCCAATGTCTAGAGAAGGTCTGCTTCCTCATTGGCAGATGGCTGTCTTCACATTGAGTCCTCCCATGACCGAGAGCAGAGAGGGAGCCAGGTCTCATGTCTCCCCCTTTAAGGGCACTGTTCACATTCATAAAGTCTTGACTCTCATCACCTAAACACCTCCTATGGCCCTACCTCTTAATTCCATCACATGGGTAGATAGGATTTTAATGCATGAATTTCAGAAAGGGCATCATAAATATTCAGTTCAGTACATTGACCAAGGTACTTTACCTCTCCAATTTTTGAGTGCTTCATCTGTAAAATGAAGGTCATAATTCCCCATGGTACTGTGAGGATTAGATAAGATAATGTAGGTAACATCTAGCTGAACACCTGGAACATTGTTGATGCTCAACAATTTTCTTCCTTTTGAAAATCCTTCCTCTTCCTCACCACAGTCTTCCTTTCATTTCCTTTTTTTTTGAAAGTTATATTTTACAGTATAATCTCATGAAATACAAAACAGGCAAGAATTTTAGAAAAATTATATTACTAACAATTTCTTTCTCTCCTATATTTCTTAAAACATGTAGCAATTAGTAAACTGCTTATTTATAGTTCATCATTTTTTCCTTTCCCTATCACCAGCTGGTGGAGGTGACTAGCCAAAGGCATAGAGTTGAGTTTAAATGAGAAATTAATTATTTCTCTAATCCTAAATTCCTGGAAGCATGACCATGTTTCCTCACTTCCAAATGGCCATGCTCACGTTTTAGCTTTTCCATTTGGGAAGCATTAGAATAAGAAATATTTCATGTTAAAAATTTCAGTTTTCTGATTTTACCTGGATGCAGAAGGATTGATTTTTTTCATACTTTAAAAGTGGAAAGTAAGAAGTTGAGGCATATTTGGGCTTGTTAGTATTTTGAAGGAGACTGAGATACACCATAAGTGAAACCATGTATCAAATAAAAGTGGAAAGTAAGAAGTTGAGGCATATTTGGGCTTGTTAGTATTTTGAAGGAGACTGAGATACACCATAAGTGAAACCATGTATCAAATAAAAGTGGAAAGTAAGAAGTTGAGGCATATTTGGGCTTGTTAGTATTTTGAAGGAGACTGAGATACACCATAAGTGAAACCATGTATCAAATACTATGATTCTGGTAGAGAGTTTAAAGGGGAAATAAAAGAGGGAGAAAGGTCCCCACTGTAGTAAATCAGAAGAGGGGCATTGGGGGACTTGGTTCTTTTCTAGAAGGGTTGAATTTGCCAGAGCAGGTCGACATCTGAATGAATTCATCAGATGAGAAATGAATGGAAGGGTGGGACTGCGTAGAATCATCCCCCTTCCCTTTCCTAAAAGCCAGTAGATGCTGCTAGAGGTATCATGCCAGTGGACAGATGACCTAGTACTTGAAGGATGAACATCACACCGTCCTCTAATTGCTTCCCAACTAAACATCTTGCTTCTTTCAAAATATTATAAAATATTTCAATGGAAGAGTCATCCCAAACTTATGTGGCCATTGACAGCTTCTAGCCCCATCCTACAAATGCATTAAGCCAGAAAGAAATCCTTGCACATTGGGGCCACAATGAAAAGAAAGAAGCCATAAACCTGTCTTCCATCTGCAGAATTCTTCTTCACTATGGGTTTATTAGGACCTGTCTGGGCCAAGGGTATCACCTACCATGTTCACAAGAGCAAGGGGTTTTCAAAAGGGGTGAAGAGAAGTGGCTAGAAGGGAATGCTTTCAAATGGATCTGGAAAGAGGAGCAAAACAGGGTGAAGATGGAGACCAAAGGGAAATAGGGAAGACAATTGGTGTTTGCTCATTTCTATGGAGAAGATGAGGACCCTGCCCAAGCTCCAAAGCAGATTCCATGTCACAAAGGTGGGGAATGGGGTAGAGGCTATTCTGAAGGTTGTGACCCCTTTGGCCAACCTGAGTTATGTTTCATGATACCTCGTGTGTCTTTCAGGCAGGTGTTTGAGAAGCAATTCTATAGGGAGAATTGAGGGAGCCATTATTATAGAAAAAGGGAACAAAATAGTATCTGAACTTTGGAAGCTGAAAGAGAGGTTTTTCACACTGCTAAGTGTGAAAAATACCATCCTTTGCCCCTTTGAGCAAAAGTTCCCAGAGTTTTGAAAATAATTAATCTGGTGTTTCTACTTTAACCTCAGCAGAAGCCTAAATCCTGAAAAGTCTCTGAAAAAAAGTCTATTTTGTTGACAGGTTATTGTATAGGGTATAACCTCCCACAAAAATCTTGTCTAAATCCTCTAGAATGGTGAAAATGAATGATACTGTATCAAAGTCATGGCTGTATTTGCTGCATGGCCTTCGATTTTTTGCTTCTTTCTCTCTCACACTTTTTTTTTTTTAAAGCATTGAGTCTATTGAGAAATCTTATTAAAAATCACAAACTGAACAGCACACTTTTTTTTTTTTTTGCGAACCAGAAACAGATTTTAAATGACAAAAAAAACTCCTTTAATCTTTTTGTAACATCTTGACAGTTGTGCCAGAAGATGTCTGCTTCTGCCTTCAAAATATAATTGCTTTTGGTCTGAAATAATTCATTTCCCACTCTTTTTCCTCTTCTAGAAAACCTTGCCCTTTCAGCTGGATATTTTTTCTTAATTTTGTGGCTCCTTTTTTTGGAGGGCGATGGGAAGGGCTGGGGAACCAGGAGGCTAAGGAGACAAGAATGAGCGTGACAGTTCGTGAAGGTGGAACACGGGACAGAATGAGCATCTATGAACCAAGGCATGAAAAATGAACACACTTTGTCATAGAAATGAGGCTAAGCATCAAAGCTTTAAATGTCTAGTATCATCAAAAGTATTTGGCCTTTGAAAATTCATCCAAATATGTTTCTATTTTTTGTTTTTTCTTTTAACTCTCTCAAGTGTTCCTGCCATAGTTTAAAACTGTTTTAGCAACCAGGATCAACAAGATTCCAAATCCTGTGTTTTCTTCAAAGAATCACTTTATAAATATTGAAATGAGTGTCATCAGATTTCCATAGACTATGGATCTGTGGACCCTTTAGGATGGATCACTTCTGATCTGTAGCACAAATCTTATGAGAATCAGAAGTAGGTGATTGTGACAAGATGGGGAGCTTGCATAGTAGAATTTGTTATTTGGGTGTCAGTGAGAATCCGCAGCTGCCAAGTGGCATGGTACATCCTTCTAACCGTAAGTTTAAGTCTTGAGTCACAAAGCACAGAAAAGGAAAAACATGAAAGAAAAAAAAAGGGAATGTGAAAAAGATAGAAATGTTGACCATCAACCAGAAACTAATAGTTCTGTGCTTCTTGAAATGTAGTGTATGTAATTCTCATCTACTTCGGTACTTTTTTTCCAAACCAGTTCTGTGAAGGTGAGTGTTTTCCATCAGCTCTTCTATGACTCCCATTTATGAATTATGAATTTGGTGTGTTAGCATCTACCATCTTTATGGCCCAGAAGAGGACCACGTCAATGGATGTTAGAATTGGTGGGATTAAGCAACTCTGTTCTGCTCACTTCTGTCTCTCTACTTGATGGTAGAACATATTTTCTGCCTTTCTAACTGCTTGAGATGAATGGAAATACCTGCATAGCAAGGGGGGAGGAGGAACCCCAACCTCTGGGTTAGTACTCCTTGGAAACTGTACTGGGCCATTGCTTCCACTTGCTGTGAGTTTACTTAGTTACTGAGAATGGAAATGGTATAATTCGATGTAGGAAGGAACCAAAGGTATATTTAGAGAAGGATGGTGTATATCTTCCTTCTTGGGGAAAGGGCAGATAAGAATTAACATACATTGAACACTTTGAGGCAGGCATTGTGCTTGATGCTCTCTGTAATATATGGCCAGGCCTCTGTGCTCCCCAGTAGGATCAATTATATTAAAATCAAAACTCAGTTTGTTTTATATATGACTATGGTCTTTTGGGAGATTCAAAATGGATGAGAACCAATATTCAACTTTGCTAGTTGGGCCTAAGATCTAGAAATAAGAGATATTCTTCTTCTTTAGGTTTCAATCTCTTGGGTCACATGCATAATCGGTTTCCCAACTCACAACCCATTCACCGGGATACTCTTTTTTGTTTCCTCTCTCTACTCAGGTCCCAAGATGCCTTCTTCACTTCTTTTAAGCTGTTATTTAACGTTATCTGTCTTTCCTGGGATACGGAGTCTGCTTAGTCTTCACAGTTTCATTTCCAGAACTCTCCTTATACTGTCATTTCTAATCCACTCTTTCTTCTTAGGAGTAGTCCTTGGATCTCTTTCAGTCTGCAGAAATTCAAGAAATTGTATGCAAAACTAATAATCTTTTATTATTATTAGGAGGTCTGATATTTGTGGATGGTCAGCTTCCTTTTAAGACTACAGAACACCTTATTTTGTCCTTATAATAGATTTGTAAGTTATGTAGTAGCACCCTTAACTTATACATAAGGAAATTAAGATCTACTTGCTTAGATCACACAACTGGGATTTGGTAGAAGCAGAAGTTAACATTGTTCTCATTAGGTCCAATGAATGTGTCTGTGCTCCTTCCACACATGATCTCTTAATATCTAAGTTATTGAACACCCACTATGGGGTCAAGCACAATACTAAGGTGATAAGCTGAAAAATTCTAAACTGGAGTTGGCATAAGGTTTGAAGACTATCAGCTTTCCTGAAATAATGTGATGAGAGATTCTGTGGTCCTGTCTATACTTAATGGGAAATGATGCTGGGATTGACTGTTAATGTCTGTCATGGGAGCAAAATGTAGTAGCTTTGCCAGTTATTCATAATAGTCTATTATGACTCACAGAGTTACCCAGTAGCAGAAGCAGGATCATATGATATTTATGAGCTGGGATCTGATTCAAGTCCTCAATCCACAGCATACTTCACGGTAACGTCTTGAGGAAATTACTCAACCTAAGTCTCTGTTATTCCATTCTTTAAATGAGGATAATAGTATGTACTTTGCAGTTATTGTGAGACTTCAATGTGGCAATGCACTTACAGCACATAATTTAGTACTTGGCACATTAAGTCTTTAGGAAATGTTACCTGATAGAAATAAAAGTAATGAGAATGAAAGATTAACTTGATAGAACACTTATACTACCTTTTATTTTTCTTGCTCTACTCTTGGGTTAACTGTCTAAGGATATTTTTCACAGTGACATATGAGAATAATTATTTTCTCATTTGTTTCCATGACAGGTTTCTCTTCACTTCCTTAAGAGTAGATGTTCTAATTTGGCTAATTAATTCTGCCAAGAATGAGTACCAAATGCTGAATAGAAGACTGGTATGAAGTCACTTGCCCAACCACAGATGAAGGCTTGGTGCTGTTAGCAAAGTCAGGGTCAATGTAATGATTTCCAGGAGCTGTGATAGGGTGCAGGAGTAGAGAAAGCCTGATGTCTGTGTTTTGGATAAAGATGATAATATTTTTGAGGACACAATTTCTCTGTCTATGCTCCTGTCCTGAGCGATAAGAGGAATATGACAGGGCCTGGGGAGGGGCTGGAATTGGGAAATGAAGCCACAAACCACAGTTTCTTGTCCCAGTTCCATTAGCACCATACAGTCAAGTGCTCTGGTATCGTGAGTGTACTTCGGTAGCTCGTAATTGCCCTGTGCTTCAGTCAAGAGAAGGGTAATTGCTCCTATGGGCCATGGATTTCCTGCTAGCAGCGTCTGATTGAAACCAGCCATTTATTGTGGTTAAAAACCCCAGACTTGCTGCAGTGTTTACAGATAAACCTTCTGTGCGACAGTCATTTACTCTACCCAGCCATCCATATATTAAAAATATTACACTCGACGCCCTCCTCTTTTCTTCAAGACAGAACAACTGTTCTTTTTGGTTTGATTAAATTTCAGTATGTAGTGTCAATGCGCCAACTCTTTTATTTTGTAGCTTATGTTTTAAATAAAGTTGCGTATCTTTGGACTTAAGTTCTATTCTATATTGGGGACTTTTGTTAATTGCTACATTACTGTAGTTTTAGTTTGGTACTTTTGCAAAGATGTTTTTCCTTTTTACTATTCCTCCAACATGTCAAATACAGGTATTAGCCCACATGTCTGTTGGTGCCTTCCTGCCTTGGAATGTAACAGCCGTGAGCCATTTACCCATCGTCAGTGATGAAGCTTTAGGTCTCTGGTTAGCTGAAAGAGGACTACATGTTTCCCATTTTTTTGGGGGGGGTTGATACGAGGGATTGAATTCAGGGGCACTTGACCACTAAGCCACATCCCCAGACCTTTTTTGTATTTTATTTAGGGACAGGGTCTTACTGAATTGCCTTGTCATTGCTGAGGCTGGCTTTGAACTCATGATCCTCCTGCCTCAGCCTCCAGAGCCGCTGAGATTATAGGTGTGTACCACTATACCTAGCTGTGTTTCCTAATTTTAATGTCACCTACATCTTCACCATTCACAGTGGATGGTGCTCCATAATAATAGCCCAAGGTAGATGATGCTGACTTTCTGGAACCAACTTTTCTGGATTCTTTTTCCTCTAGTTCTATTAAATTTGGTTTTAGGAGCTGCATGAGCAGTTGGATGTTGCTGTCTATGTATGATTCAGGCTCATCCAGTGGATCTTGAGATTTTGGGTGGGTTTAATTCAACGTCTGTGTTTATGAATAATAACACCCATACCATGTTTCACTTGATCCCTTTATTCTTGTGCCAAGAACAAAGGGATGGTTAGGGATAAAGTGGTTAGAGATACATTTTTTGGGATAAAGTGTCAATGCCCTGAACTTGGAAAGTTAGAAACTCACATTCCTCATTCTTCCCTATTTGCTAATGTCCCTTCCAAACCTGCACACTTGGTTGGAGTTCATGAGTAATTTATGCTCTTTCTATGGGAATGAATTAGGATCATCTGGTGATCTTGACATTTATGTACAAGGTGTCCAGGTTGATTGGTAAGAAAAATGGTAAACACATTTTTAAGTACTGGGGATTGAACCTAGTGGGGCTCTACTATTGAGCTACAGTCCCCAGCTCCTTTTATTTTTTATTTTGAGACAGGGTCTCACTAAATTGTTCAGGCTGGCTTTGATCTTGTGATCCTTCTGCCTCAGTCTCCCACAACAGCAAGATTACGGGTGTGTTCTACCTCACCCAGCTAGGTTTGTACATTTTTAAACTGTGTGATTTTAAAGGATTTCCATTATTATACCAAAATAGTCCAATTAACAAAAGACATGAGGTTTCTTGTTTTTGTTTTATTTTTAGTTTGGTTTTGCCATGCTGGGCATCAAACCCAGGACCTTGCATATGCTAGGCAAGCTCTGCCTCTGAACTATACCCCCAGCCCTTTAGTATTTCCTGTAGCACTCTCTTCTCTGTTTGCAGCTCCATCTTCCTTAGATATGTAGAGCTGATCAGTTTATCTGTAATGCATTGTTAAAGAATATACTAATTAGGATTCTCAGTGCTATGCTTAAGGTTCCTGGAACCTCAGACAATGAGTACTAATTTTTTTCCTCTAAATTGTGACATTGAAATTAGTGGTTTGAGCAGAAACAAGATGCTACAGTTGAATTAAAGCAAAGAATACTTGTCCATAGTTCACAAATCCATGAACCTGGTCCTCTGGTGCGTGGCAAATGGATGGTGTATATCTAGGTGCTGAAGAGCAGGGATGTAGGACAAGAAAACAAAACCTTGACCCCAGGAAGCATTTTAGCAGATCCAAATGGAGCATAAAACCTTACAGAGTAATAGTTAGATGTACAAAACTAAAGATTAAAAAAAATCAAGGGAAATAAATTCATCACTGCATTGTGGTGGACTCAAGCGCTTTGCTTCTCTCTTCTGATTTATCATTTGCCTTATGAGGTAGTTGTTATCTCCACACCAAAGATGAAGCAGGGGCTCTGGGAGGTTAAGTAACTCGATCTAAGTCATAGAGCTTGTAAGATCAGCAAGCTTGACATCCAAATCTATGTGCTTTCCATTATATCACCTGGTCTACCCATTTTTCTTGTGGTTTCTCTGAGCAGTGAATGTCTAGTGCAGTGAAATATGATTTGATTGATCAGTATTTAGTTTTCACTTGGCTTTTTTAGGAACATATGAAATTATTGATTAATTGAGCTAATATTTATTTTTGCATGACTCAGACATCAGGCACTGTGAATATATGAGAACAAATGAGACGTGTGTGCGGTTCTTGAGAGGCTATGGGGAAGGGAACAGATACGTTAAAAAAATATACTTGCAATTCAGTGTAAGAGCCACATTGGAAGTGTGTTCAATTTTCAGGAAGGGACAAAAGAAGAGGTAATCTATGCATGAGGGAGGAAGCTGTGTTTGGCAGAGGGATCTTCCAAGAAAAAGAACCTTAACTGGGGTCTTAAAAATTAGTGATGATGATAATAGTGCTAATGGCTAATAGTTTCGGAATACTTAGAATGCTCCCTAGAAACACCTGCTTAAATATCTGGTTTGTAAGTCTCAGCATCTCTGGTTGTTGTTCCTTTTGACCTCTCAGTGATGAGGAAACAGGCATGGAGAAGTTGAGTAACTTCTTGATGGTGGAAGCCAGGTGAACCCCGAGTTTGCTTGGTCCAATAGCTGTATTTCATGGCTCTATTTTCTTGAGGTAGCTGTTGGTAAGGCTTTGCCTGGAAGATGGTGGGTTTGGTTGCCGGGCTGTTGAAGACAGCAAGGCAGTTTGCCTGGGCAAGTGACCAACAAGTGCAAAAGAGGAAGAAAAGAAACAATGTGGCATAAATTGGGGATTTATGAGTAGCAGCTTCTGGCGGATCTGTGCCTTGTACCCTGGGAGCTGGAGAGCCCTGGGGCTGCGTCTAGATCAGGAATGGACTATGTGGGCATGAAAAGGACTTCGGATTTGGTGTCCTTGGACGATTTCAGGCAGGGGAATGAAATGATCTCATTAATTTTCATCAGCGAGGTCTGTACAGGTAATTAGGAAAGAGACTAAGTTTCAGGCATGTGAGTTAAAGCCCTCAAAAATTGTTAATAAGCAGCAATTTGATGCCTCAACTTTTAATCACCTTGCTTTGTTTCTAGTCAAAGCTCTTCTCACAAAGAAGGTAGAGCAGTTCCAGAAACTGAAATCTGCAAATGTCACACTCGTTTATCCAGGTTGCAGGCAGGAGGACACAACCTTGATCACTCCTTATGTCATCTGAGCTAGGGACTCATTCTGGACAACCTGAGTTTCAGATCAAATTGCTTTCTACCAAAAGAGCGCCTCATGAGGATTTGTGAACATTTTGCTTTTTTTTTTTTTTAATCAGATGCTCATAAGCTCATTCTTATGTTTTACAGACTATATCCCAGAACCTAAGCACCCAAGCTCACAAAATGGGTAGTAGAAGCCTATTTTGGGTAGGGAGAGCTATGGAGGAAAGGGCTGCTGAATTCTGGTTTTGATTGCTCTCTGCTAGGTGTGGCAGCCATCAGAGGAAATTTACCTCCCAAAGTTGTACAGCCATCAGCAGCCTGAATCTCTGCTGCTATTTTCCACCTTAGATTGGCTCGAGGATCGCCTGAAGCTGGCCGCTTTTTCCCTGCCTTGCTTTGCTGTTCTATGATGACCTTTTCTTTGTTTATTGTTGTGTTTGAAATTTCTGGGAGTTTATATAATTGATGGGCTTGTGTGCACAGCCTGCCTGGGAATCCACTGGTGAAATACCATTGAGTCTGCATGTGTGGTTTTTCTTTCTTTCCCGCCATCACCCCTGATGTCAGAGAGTCAGAATCCTAACTGATGAGATGACATGGTAATAAGACTCTTCCTTATCTTGTAAGTAAAAGGTTTAGGTCAATCACAGTCACCCGGGGTCGACCTGTGTTAGAAATTTAACATTTTGTTGACAATCTCTTGAGCTCTAACATAATACCTGAGTTGTACTTTCTATATATTTCTCAATGGTTTCTACTTACCTTGGCTTGACTAGGGTGTTGAAACATAAAACTGTGAAGTTGTTTATTACTTATGGAAATAACCAGCAAATGGTTGTAGTAAGAGTTAGCTGATCATTTAACTTTTTTTTTGTCTGATTTTTAAAAACCATAGGAGCTAGAGAAAGATACAGGGAATTACAAAAGGCACATTACAAAATAACATGTAAGATACATTTTTGGACTTAATTACCTCTATGATATCAGATGAAGAAAATATGGAAGAAGAAACATTGGAGAGTCCGGAGAGATGCCTTTGCCTCACAAGTACTTTTTGTGTCATGTGTAATTTCTCATATTTAGAAAAGTTTAAAAGTGAGAGCCTTATTTATTTTGCTTGTATAATTCAAAAGCCTCTGATGTATAAGAAGGCAGAATTTGTAGCAAACATATCAAATATGTATATTTCAAATAAAGCTGTTAATTAGTCAGTTGACATCATTAAACCTTAAGTTTCCTTGTTGTTGTCTTAAACTGTGCTTGGATTTCATGGTGATGATTGAATTT